AGAAGTAATGGGAGAGCTGGTTATCGATGGGGTTAAGACGGACAAGGTGCAATTCTTAGTAGTTGAAGACAAAGCAATTCCAGTAGAAGTATTGATTGGACAGTCTTGGCTCAATTTGCCTCAGATTACTTACCACAAACAAGATGACACGTTTGTCGTTGAGTACGCAGATATGGACGTGGAATCAATATGTGCCAATATTAATAAGCATGAACATGGAGTTCAAGTATGCTTGGTGCAAGAACAGTCAACATCAAAAGTGTCACTGTCAACAGATGATGTGATAATAGGCAGTCAGGTTGACTCCACGCAAAAAGAAGAACTAACAGTGTTACTGAATAAGTATCGTGCAGTGTTTGCATTAAATTTACAAGAATTGGGTTGCACGGATTTGGTGACAATGGAGATAATGGAAGAACAAAACAGTAAGCCTGTATCGATGAAGCCGTATCGCACATCCGAACAAGAGCGAAGACAGATAGCGGAAATTACTGACGAATGGGTCAGGAGTGGTATAATTAGTAAGACCAGGTCTCCTTATGCGTCACCAGTCATATTGGTCAATAAAGCAAATGGAAAGAAGAGGTTGTGTGTTGACTTCAGGAGATTGAATAGTCAGACAATATCACAGTCATATCCAATGCCGGATGTAGATTCACAATTGAGTTCATTGTCTGCTGGTAAGATGTTCTGCACTTTAGATTTATCGAATGGTTATTTACAGATACCTTTGGCTGAGGGAGCGAAAGACAAGACTTCATTTATCACTCCTGATGCAGTATACAAGTTCGAACGTATGCCTTTTGGTTTGAGAAATGCTCCAGCTGAGTTTTGCCGATTGATGGACCAGGTGTTGGGAACTCTCAAGAGGGAAGGTGTTGTTCGTTGTTACATCGACGATGTCATTATTCCAGCAACAGATTGGGGAGACATGTGTAGGAAAGTGGAAAGAGTATTTCAAGCTCTTGAATGTGCTAAGTTAACCTTGAACCCAACCAAGTGTGCTTTTGGAGTCACTGAATTGGATTACTTAGGTTTTAATATTAAGGAAGGTCAGCTGCGTCCAGGTCGGAAAATAGCTGTAATTGAGAATTACCCAAGACCAAAAAATGTCCATGAACTAAGAAGATTCCTCGGATTGACAGGATACTTCCGTCGTTTCATAACACATTATGCGGACATTTCTGCACCACTGACGGCTTTGACGAAGAAGGATCTACCATGGAAATGGACGGATGCACAACAAGGAGCATTTGAACAATTGAGGCGTATACTGACATCTGCTCCAGTGTTGAAATTATACAATCACGAATCACCGGTGACTGAAGTACACACAGATGCTAGCGCAAAAGGTCTATCGGGCATGTTAATGCAGGGTGACACTGAGAAATCACTACACTTAGTGTATGCGGTGAGCAAAAGAACAACCGAAGCGGAATCACATTACCACTCCAGTAGACTTGAATTATACGCGATTGTATGGACGTTAATTCGATTGAGGCCATATCTGCTTGGAATCAGATTCACAGTGGTGACTGATTGTCAGGCTTTGGTATATTTGAACACCAACAAGTCAGCAAAGCCACAGGTGGCTCGTTGGTTCGATCTACTACAAGAATTTGAAATGAATATCAAGTACCGATCAGGCGAGCGGATGGCTCACGTTGATGCATTGAGTCGTTTGGAAGGTACTACGGACAGTGTACAAGCAGTAGAAGAGGCATTGGATAATCGATCCTTGGTTATGACATTAATGACTTTGGAAGAACGTGTACGATACATGCAACAAGCTGATCCTGATACATGTCGATTAATCAACATATTGGAGAGGGGTGAAGGTGACCGAACTCCATATGAGAGGAACGCTGTAAATAAATTCAAGTTGTTGGATGGTGTATTGTATCGAGATTTAGAGGGGATAAGTCGTTTTGTGGTACCTAAGCCTCTGAGAAAGGGGATAGTGATAATGGCCCATGATATGGCAGGTCATAGGGCATTGGATCAGACACTAAAGAAAATTCAGGAACACTATTGGTTTTCAAAAATGCGTAGGTATGTACAGATGCATATCGGTGGATGTTTGGATTGTCTGGTCAACAAGAAGCCTGGAGGAAAACAACCAGGAGAGTTACACCCTATTCCCCCTGGAAAAAGACCATTTGCAGTTGTTCACTTGGATCATTTGGGACCTTTTGAAATCAGTTTGAAGGGCAATAGATTTTTATTAGTGTTAATAGATAACCTTACCAAATATGTATTGTTGTTTCCAGCAAAATCCACTCACACTCAATCAGCTATTAGAAGTTTACAGAAGTTTGTTGATCAATGGGGATTGCCGGATCGTTTGATAACAGATAGAGGGACATGCTTTACTTCCAAGGCGTTCCAGGATTACTGTCAACATAATGGGATCAGGCACACTCTCAACTCGTCTCGACATCCGCAAGCAAATGGACAAGTGGAGAGGACCAATAGAACCTTATTGCCAATGCTTGCAATTCAAGCACAAGATCAAAAATTATGGGATCAGAAGCTGAAAGAAGTTGAACGTGACATAAACAACACGGAAAGTAAGACTACCAGATACACACCATTTGAGTTAATCCACGGATACCGGCCTCAGTTTCATTCAAGCGTGCTGAGATTACTAGATGGTGTTGGTACACATCAGCCTTTGAATTCAGTAGAGTTACAGGCCAAGGCAAGAGATAACATTTTGAAAACTCAGGTATCAATGAAAGAAAGATATGATCAGAAAAGGAACAAATCGATAAGCTATGAAGTTGGAGAAATGGTGGCAATGCTGCGTGCACCTACCCCAGGTCAATCTACCAAGCTTCAGACCAAGTATCGGGGCCCATTGCAAGTTATAGGGAAACTACCTGGAAACACATATCGAGTCGCTGAGATGGCAAGGGATGGTAAACACATTTATGCTACAACGGCTCATGTGTCTCAGTTGAAGGCAGTTTCAATAATGCAAGAGGAGCAGCTTGAGGAAAAAGGAAGTGGGTCATCAGCAGATGAAGATGAAGAGACTAACAAATCAAATGCTGATCTACCAAGGGTGGAAGAAACTGTTAAGCTTAAACGTCAAAGAAAACCACCAAAGTATTTAGAAGATTATGTTTAATTAAGTCCATCTAAAGAACTGATTTGTTTAATTTTGTTTAAAATATTAATTTAGTTAAATCCATCTAAAGAACTGATTTGTTTAATTTTGTTTAGAATATTAATTTAGTTAAGTCCATCTAAAGAACTGATTTGTTTAGATTTGTTTAAAATATTAATTTAATTGAGTTTGTTTTATATAATGACTTATCGAGGTCGATAAGTAAGGGTGGATGGCCGAGTGTTGGCTACCCTGTTTTTTGAAAAGGGCTTGACCATTCAGTCATGGTTATAGTCAGTCGCAGAGTACCGGTTGTGGGCTCTGTTCGTAATGTTCGTATGTTTGTTGTTATTTGTTTATGCATTTTAATAAAACTGCTTTAGTAAGTACAATTCGTTTGTCTTCGTTTAAAACCTATTAGTAACAGTTCTTTCGCAAGCTAACTTAGCATAGACTTATAACTGCGGCTAATATAATATTGTTTTTAAAAAGGGTATCAAGACCCTATTATATTGTATTTTTTTCAGATAAAGTTATCCACGGTTCCCCGAATATAAAAATTAAATTATTACAATAATAATTGTATTACCTAATACTTAATAGTAATCACAATAGATTTCTCTCAATGTGCATAATCACATTTTTGATAATTGGTAAAAATAATTATATTTTGAATTTGGGGGGGCCGGCCTTGGGCCAGAGTATATTTAGGGTGGGCCCGGCCCACCCAGGCCCCCCCTGGCTACGTGCCTGCCAGGCTGGGGCCCAAATTTTTTAGGGAGGGCCAAATTGTTGACTTGATATATATACCTATATATAAACAATACTCAATAGTGATGACAGGCAATTTCGCAGAGGGGAGAGGGGGAGGGCCAACTTCCAATTTTTTTTACACTTCATCGTGTAAACTTACTAAAACAATGATTTGTAAACATGTATTGTATTAATAGTATTTATTTGCTAACAAAATATATATTCATGTAAACACTTTTTGATTTTTATGCTCCCTAACCCATAATTACACAGTACACTCAATACCAATGAATATTTACTAATAATTTATTATTTTCGTATTCAGCCGCTGGAAAATACACGTTATTTATGAGGCTTGAAAGCATATTATTATAGTGCATATAGTTTTCAACCCATTCAAAATGTTGTTCACGCCATCTATTATGACTTAATATTTTCATATTTTAATAAATCATGATTTATTCATGAGATATTTTTTAGTATTCTAATATGATTAAATTTAATTTTTGAGGTGGGCCACAGGGGGGGCCGGAGACTTTTTAAGGTGGGCCTGGGCCCACCCTGGCCCACCCCTGGCGCCGCCACTGAATGGACTGGAAACGAGCCTGCAGCTCATCAGTCATCAGTAAAGTTGTCGCCTCGAAAGTATTTACAAGAGGCAAATGCGGGGGTCGCCATCATAATCGAGAGTTTACAGCGCCATCTGTATAAAACACGGTCTGAGATACAAAATGTGACGCTAAATAAAATCACTGGTAGCGCTGAAAACTTTCGATTATGAGCTTCGATGATAACAGAGGAACCTTCTGCTTGCCATTCCCCGTCACCCGCCCACCGTGTCGTTTCAATCCATTATATCTTAATAGTCCGTGGGTTATATCCATGAACATTCCTCTAATGTTCATGGTTATATCATTAAAATTTAACAATCTCACCCATCAATACGTACTATCAATTTTACTGTTATCAAAATTGGCCTAAGTGGCAAAAATAATACTCTATTATAAAAAAAATTTATTATTCTACATTTATACCCATTCATATTATTGCCACCCAATTCTTCTGTATTTTGTTTTCTGATTATTAAGACGTTTTTATTTTGCACATCCAATTACAGTTCATCAAATTGTTTGCAATGGCTGGGTCTGCTCTAAGACGACTTATGGCTGAATATAAACGTATGTAAATACTTTATTTGTGTAATAAAAGTATAGATTACACTAATTTCTATCAAAAATTGTAATATGATTTATTCTGTAGAGCTGACATTAAATCCTCCGGAAGGAATCATTGCCGGGCCAACCACTGAAGAAAATTACTTTGAGTGGGAAGCATTAATCACGTAAGTTACAATGATGTCATAGTCTATTAAACAGTACATTCGCAATGTATGAATACTAATTTTTTTTATGAGTAGAGGACCAGAAGGGACATGTTTTGAAGGTGGTGTTTTTCCAGCAAAACTTATATTTCCATCTGATTACCCATTGAGTCCACCAAAAATGAGTTTTACTTGTGATATGTTTCATCCAAATAGTGAGTACAATTTGTGATGTGTGTTAATTGTTAATATTGGTCCATTACAAAATTGTGATCCATTTTAAAACATTTTCAGTGAACATTTTTAAATATAGTAGGTACTAGTATATTATTCACAATATTTTGTTCAGAAATAAAATCAATTTATGGGTAGTTCATGTAAATATTGTTTTGTTTAATTTTAATTCATCTTTTAAAAATATAATTGATATTCTGGGTACTGTTATGCAATATGTAATTGAAATTACTAATTATCTTCATAGTTTTAGTCTATAATTTACACATTACACGTCATTGAAATCAAATTATTATTGCATAATATTTTACAGCTTACTTAATCATGTTTACATAATCATACATATTATTTAACTAGATCTACTACCTTTTATTATGTTTTGGTACCCACCTGTTGCAATAATCATATTTTTATAATAATTTGAAGGATATATTTTTGAATTGTAAAATAAAGTAGAACCTGTTCAGTAAGGTCCATTATTTTTTTAAAGAAATAAACAACAATAAATAATAAAATAAATAATACTACTAGAAATATGCCACAACTTTTTATTAAATATAACACCAGCCAGTTAACTAGATAAAAAAATTAATGAACTCAAGTATTTTTAAAAAGAATGATAAATACAAATAGATCAGCTCTTTACATTGTAGTCTATAAATAGGATACTACTAATAAAATTATACTTATTACTTTGTAATTGTAATACCATGTAGATTTTAAATTTTCAGTTTATTCAGATGGGCGTGTATGTATTTCAATTCTCCATGCACCTGGGGATGACCCTATGGGTTACGAATCCAGTAATGAAAGATGGAGCCCTGTACAGAGTGTTGAAAAAATTCTTTTATCTGTTATTAGTATGCTCGCCGGTAATTATAAACAAAATTTTAGTTTTCAACTTTAATTATATATTAATTTTAATTTTTCTTTTTCAGAGCCAAATGACGAGAGTGGCGCAAATGTTGATGCCGCTAAAATGTGGCGCGAAGATCGTGAAGGATTTAATAAAGTAGCTGAAACATTGGTCAGAAAAACTTTAGGGATACCAACAAGTAAATAAGTTCAGGTAGGTAAAATAATTTAATCGAAACATTTGGCTAGCAATGAGCAATGATATTTGAATAACCACATGTATCTGTCGTACTATATTACTAAAAGCTAATAAAAAAAAAAACATGTACATACACTATTAAGTTAAATTTTGAAATATAAGTTATGTATTTTATATTTTATACATATTTATGTGTTAATTAATACTGGATTTTTATTTTAAATTTGGTTCAGTCTTTGAATGTTTAAGTATGGTGGCAACGGAATAAATAAAAACATTTGTAGTTCATTTAATGGGTTATTGATTTGTTACAATTCCTCTAGTCTTCTTATATCCTTCAGCTTGTCACAGTCTCCTCAAGTAAAAATATTGTTCATAACAAAATAAAAAAAAACAAACAAATAATTTAACTGGCTAATACATTTTTTTTTTTTTTTTTGTCATATTTGTTTTATTTGTACAATCTGTATAAAAATAATTACAATAAGCACAATGGAGGGATAATACATTATAGGTAATGACTAATGGGTCATGGTTGGCTTGATGAAGAAGCTATTCATTAATAGCACTTCATGACTGGATGGTGGACTAGTCAACTAGTAGGTCACGGCACCAGCTACGCTTTAAACGTCGGCCAGGGTCGCCCGGGATTGTTCGAGAAGAGATATTTTGGATGAGAGGGTTTCGGTGATTTGAAAGTTTAAGGTGGAAACTTTTATATAGGGTTTTGGCGATGTTTTTTACTGTCAGAATGAGGAGGTCCCTGTGGAGGGTATCATTTTAAAAAGGAGCTTTAGTTATCTGTCTGAGGCATTTAGATTGAAATACTTGGATTCGGTTTATATTGGAGTCTTTGGCTGATCCCCAGAGTTTAATTCCGTAGGACCAGATAGGTTTGAGGAGTACTTTATAAATAAGGATTTTATTGTGTAGTGAGAGATGTTTGGATGACAGGAGGAGGCGAAGTTTCTTCGACGATTATTTAGTACAAGTCGTTTGTTACGTATGTGGGTAGCCCCCGTGAGTCAGCGATCTAGGTAACAGACATTTCGGGAGAGGTTGGTTGTTAAGTGTGATATAGGGTCACCTTATTGGTCTGAGAGTGAATGTGCAGTAGATGGATTTGGATTCATTGAGTTTGAACCCCATTCTTTGTACCATGTCGAGAGGATGTCGAGGTGGGTTTGGATTCTGCTGGATGCCTCGAGAGGGTCATGGTGGTAAGGTTGGTAGTGGATTGGTCTGATGTGTACAGGTTGAATAAAAAAGGTGCCGCTACAGCTCCTTGCAGTACTCCAGCTTTAATTGATGATATGCCAGATAAAGCTGAGCCATATCGTTTGGAGAAATGCTTGTCTTCTAGATAGGACTTGAAGATTAAGTAGAAGCTGGGAGGAAATATTAACTTTAATTTGATGAGGAGGCCGTGATGGCCATACCTTGTCAAACGCTTGTGCTACGTCTGCGCCTGTGCAGATTAGTTTCTTTTCAAGTGAATATGAAATTTTGTCAACTATGCGATGAACCTGGTGTATGGGGGAATGGTTATTACGAAATCTGAATTGATTGTCTGGGAGGTTTGTGTAATTGTGTCAATGATTGGGAGTAGGCGTTTGAGTGTGAGTTTTTCAAATACTTTGGAGAAGAACGTAGATGGCTTTATTGTCTGTACTAGCTGGGAGAGTCGGCGGGTTTCCCGGGTTTGAGTATCATAATTATGATCTAGAATTTCCAAAGCAGAGGAAAGTATGAGAGTCTGAGCATGGAGTAGTAAATGTGCGTGAGTGATAAGATGGCTTTTCTGGGAAGTTTTGAGGCGACTTCTGATGTAATGAGGTCGTAACCTGGGGTTTTATGAAGCTCAGATTTATTGATTATAAACTCGACTTCACTAGGTCTGATGTGTTTTGGTCGAAGGGTCAGAGGTAGTGGACTGGATAGGAAGTGCTCGATTTCAACTATTTTTTTTGCGGGGTATGATGTCAATATGTTGCTGGAACGTTGTGTCTGAGTGATGACGAAAAGCATTAGCTTTTTCTAAGTCACTGATAAGCCATGTGCTGCCGTCAGGGTTTCTCAGAGGGGGTACTGGAAGTTGAGAGCGGAGAATTTTCCTAGTGTTTTGCCAAAGAGAATTGTCGGTGGTGGAAAGGGATGCGAGATGGTTTGTTAAGTTATCGGATTTGATTTTAGCTAAGATTCTTTTGAGTTTATTGGTGAGGTGATTAAATAGTCGTTTGTCAGAGGGATATTTAGTTCTTTGCCAAACAGCGCATGCTTTTCTTTTTTCCGATATTAGAGTTCTGAAAAAATGTGGAAGATCAGAGGTGGGTTTATTGAGTGGGTTAGGAATAGTGGAGGAGGACTATTGAATATGGCTTGTTGAATTGACATTGTCAGGGTGTGAACAGCACATTTAGTTTTTATTTTTCTTATTTTATTAAAATCATCAAACAAAATTCAATATTATATATATTATCTACAAGTCATGTAATTCACACAATGAGTCTTTGACTTATGCTTAATGCTGAGCTAAAAAAGATTTACTTAGTCAAACATTTATACATTAATTATTAAAATAGAGTTAACTCTAAAATCACAATTAGTTACTTAAAAATAGGTAACAAAAAAAAAAAATAATAATAAAAAAAATACAACACTAATAAATGATATTAATTGTTTTTCTGTTTTACATTTATTCTTAAATATTAAAAATATCATTTAAAACGTGAAGAAATAGTTATAATTTTTAAGGTATTTGAAACAAACTTTTCAGTTTTGTTTTTGTATGGAAAATGATGCATGTGTCATAGTATTTTAATGATTTTGTAAGAACTAGTTAAAAATAAACAAACTCATTAAGAATTATTAGATATTATATGTGAATTTAATTAAAAATTTTATAAACTGTCAACTATTTTTATTCTCGTTTTAGTTTTTTAAATGTTTGTTCAAAACTTAAAATGCAATATTAATTCATCCACTGTTCAACAAATAAAAATTATAATTAAAAAAACCAAGAATTTTACAATGCATCAACTTTTGTATGTAATAATTGCTTTTTCACACAATATATTAAATCATTTATTCTGAGTATGATGTGTACACAAACATTTACCAACACAATTACAGTTAAAGAATGATATAAATGTTATATTGTTCAATAACTTAATTATTTTTATTGCTAAATGTATAATGAGTGAATACAATAATTGATACACATTTTAATTTTTTTACAATATACAATTTTTCCTCGTCATTTCAGATAGTAATTCTAGTAAATCTTGAAATTAAATTGATTAACTAGTGAGAAAATGACAAAGTTAATACTACATTAAGTACAGGATATTATTACAAAATCAATACAATGTTAGTGGCCCTAAGTATAAAAATAAATAATTATACATTTTAAACTCAACTAAAAGTCTCTATAACAGGATCAAACTAATCTGGTGTAAAGAATTCCAGATTCAAAAATAAATAAATCACGGTTGAACATTAATTTAAGCTCTTAATTATGCTTTCACATTATTAAATATTATGTAATAATAGTTATTTTATTTGTATAATAAAAATGTAGTTATTATATACTGTTTCATGACATAATTATATAATAAGTTGTAACTCTAAATAGTTGAATTGTCAAATTCTTAACAACTATTACTGTATATGAATACACATGGTTATGACTGTTTTAATAGTTTAATTTTTAAATATGTCTGCTAAAAGTTAGTTTATTTGAAGAAAATATTTATTTACTAATAACATACATTTCTAATGAGGAATCAGTAAATTTAAGGTGGTGTAAATGATATTAGATGTACAGCTGGAGTAGGAGTCGTTGATTGGCTACTATCAGAGCTGCCCAGTTGTTCACAATAATAATGTGGCGTATTTAAATAATCAATCAGTCGTCTGGGTAATGGCAATTTGTGGATTAAATCTCGACGCACTGTCTTCAAAATGACAAACCTGATGACATAACAATATTTTATTAACATTAATAACTCCTTATACAAAGTAAACTTATATTTTTTGTTTATGTATTGCTCGAAAAACGTTAGTTAATAATTTACCTGGCCATGTGCTGTAAGCTTTGGACTTGTTTGAATCGAGATACAGGATGAAGTAACTGTACTCTCATTGGTCCAAGAATTGGACGTCTATGCAAAAAGAACAAATACCTCCCACTACGAGAATGTTCTACGGCATTTTCGACAAATTCAACGATAGTATGACTTTTAAATTTTGTACAGCTACCGAAACTAAAATTTCCTAAAACAAAAATTAAATGTGAAAAATTTTTTTTTTATTTTTATTTTTATTTTTACCTTGATCGTGCTCGATTCTGACATGTCGAACAAAACCATTCAACTTAAATGTCAATGAAAATATATAATGATCATCACTACTGTCACGAACAATAAACGATCCATCGGGTTCATTAGATAGTATTTTTTCAGCAGCTTCCCCTGATGTTGGACCCCAATACCATCCATACTAAAATTATTTCAATATACATAAAATACAATTTATGATTTATATTTTAATTTTAAAAAATCTTACGTCTTTCACTTTTTCAATGCTAGTGGCAAAATCCATACTGGTCTCGCGTTCGTATGTATCTCTGGGCCCATCATCAGGCACTGGTGGAAGTGCACGCTTTTCAAATGTTGTCTCTTTAGTTACATCTACAAGAACCACAGTGTCTGTTGGGTTCAATCCAGGATCCAAGTCTGTAGATGTACTTTTACGTGATCGAAAAATATTACAAAAAGTTTGCTTTAAACTAAAAGAAAAGTTGGATTTTGTTGACGAAATAAATGGAGAAGAACAAAAGATTTTTCTCGATGAATGACTAGAACTATGACCACCAATCTCTTCTGAAGTGCTACTCTCCTTGGCTTTCTTATGTTTGATATTCACCATAAATGATTTTTTTCTGATTTTGCATTTAGATGATGATACTTTGCTAACACAGTTTTCTTTGTTGTGATCATTTTGAACATCATTGCATTTTGATACATTTGCAACTTCAGGTTTGCTACACTCTCCTGTATTGCTATAAATATTGTGAAGAATTGTTCGAACATCTTTTACAGTCATGTGTATGGGCTCTTGAATATTGATACATTTTTCTCCTGGTCTGAGTTAGAAAAAAATTATTAAAATAAAATAATATAAAATGTTAGCATTGTAATGCTTACTTTTTATTAAGTGGTACGGAATGGCACTGATCACGAAATTTTCTCTTTTTTCTCAACGGTCGTCGAAAAGCGACGTTAAACGGGGAACTATCGATTGGTAATGTATACGTATCACTATTAAGAGCATCATGTGAAACCGCAGAAGATATAAAATTAGAATCATCAGAAGAAACTACATTAAATAAGGAGTTATGAGACGATGAAATAGTTGATAACAAAGAATTGTTTGATCCATTTGGTAAGCGATAATTAGTCTTCCAATAAATGCCTAAATTATGATACAGTTTTTGTTGTTTAAAGTGCCTAAAACAAAATAAACTATAAATTATTATCTAAAATAATATTATGCATTATGCATGTTATTTACGATACCCGTATTATACTTATTATTACCTAGTATCGTGCAGTGGATCCAAGTGTTTCAGGGAGTCATTAATCAACGACTTTATAAAACCATCAGCATATTGTTCAACACGAATCATACATTCATTAGTGTAGACAGGAGAACGGACATGTCTACATTGATTGTCTTTAAATTCAAACGGAGGAGAGTAAACATTAAAAGAATTGCATGGAGAGTCTTGAAACTCAACAGGAGGCTGAATTGGATTCTCTGATTTTTGAATACTAGGACATTTCTTCAATGTATTAAACTGTTGTGTGTATGATGTATCAGAATCGTCGATTAGTGAATCTTCTTGACTTAATGATAACTCATCGTCACATTCTTTAAACTATAAATTAAAAAAAAAAATCAAATTTAAGATACTGAAAATAATATAAGTAATTGTCACTCAACATAAATGTTTAGACATTTGATAATTCCATTGAAAATACCAAAATTTAGTTTGTAGTTAAAAAAAATATAAACAGTATAAACCAATCCTAATATTACCAATTATAGGTACACATTTATTTAAAAGTTTTGAAATTCATTCAAATATTTTCTACTGTTGATGATTTAAAAAAAAGATCAATTAATAATTTAATCATATATAATACCTACTTTAATTAGAATATGTACAATAATTCCATAAAATGCAAATAATAGGTCAACTTAAAAATAGTAATTATTCAAAATAAATGATCCATAGCATTTTTTGAACACAAAATTGTTACATACCTATATTTCATCAATCACAATATTTAAAAATCACTAAAAGTCTAATTGCTAATAACAAAAACTTTAAGTTTAATTGTATTATACATTACCAATAATAGATTATTATTATTACCTACTATAAATAAATATACAAATATTCATTTTGGAAATTATTGAAAGTATTATACTGGAATTATAACTTATAGGATACGCAAAATATGGTAAGAAAACAGCAAACTTCGTAGAATTTTAAAAAAATGTAAAAATATGGAGTAGGTGATATATGATACAAAATACAAATATCAAAACATATTAATGTTAATAAATATTATCTAGTAAACAAATTTTAATCAAGATTTTAATTAAATCTGTTATGAGTTTTAGTACAAAAATAATATAGAAATCTCTATGGAAAACACTTAAATTTATTTATAGGTCATAATATCTTAGATACATGTTATCAAATCACCAAAGATTTATTTATATTTTAATCATTTAAATGTTAACTGTTGCTTTAATACCAAGATGGTTTTATTTATATCTTTGTTTGTGTATCACTTAATTATATAACTACTGTAGTAAAATACTAAATTTATTATCTAAGTAATTATCATAATGATTATACGTTTCAAAATAATTTGAAGTGTTTTGTGTTAACGTAAATAATAGTTTAACGACAACATTGAACATAATATAAATTACACTAACTATTACAATGAAAGTAACAAATTTAATATATTTTTTTATTGATTGTACATACAAATTATACAATAAACTTAATTTGGTGATAATATTTTACAAAAAAAAAAAAAATTTCTCTTACGCTAGTTGACAGGTAACGAAATGAAACGTTAATAGTTGTATACAATGAATAAGTGTATCTACACAACATTACTTAATGATTATATTATAAATAGGAGTGTAAAAACTTACTTTGAATTGTGGTGAATGCTTGTTAGAACTGCTACTGGCGGAACTGTTTGAAAACGAACCGTTGACCAAAAGACCGCTGTCGTCTTCACTGAGCAAGAGCACATCAGATGTTGGCGAATCCATCCCATATTAAAATTCAGCAGGAAATCAGACATGCCGCTAACAACCTAACGAAGGACAAGATGCATCTTAAAGAGTAAGTTCAACTTGATAAATGGATCGATATTGTTTGCAAACAATAATTAATCAATAACGTTTAATAATTACATTTGGCGGTGGAGCCAAACTGTTGTCCGCATATTGGTACCGATTTCTCTGGCACGCCAATATTGAATTAGGCTGTGAAGAGTTTCACAGTGTTCTGAATTTCGACTACTATTTAGACACAACTGCAATTTAAATATTTAAAAGCTAAGACTCGAAGAAAGAAAATATTTTCTATTATTATTTATTCCAAAATAAAAGCTTATCAAAATAACACGGGAGTAGTTAAACAACACAACTCAACTGAACAGTGGTTCTCATTTTTCAAAATGTATATTTCCAGCGGCCTTATCAGTATCCTTTGTAAATTAAGTATCTATAGATAAGACGTATCCTCATGATGGCTTATAAAAAAAAATTGATGAAAAGATGATCTCTGTTGTATTCGGCATTCGCCACGAGTATCCATATTATAAATAATCATCACGATTCACGATCACAAATCACAATTCACGACATCAGTACATTACCTATATTTAATAATAATAATTCATAATATTAATATATAATCTGTATTAATTGTTATTATTTATTGTTATTTGTTTGTATTTTGTACGGAAGCGTTGAAGGGCCAACCATATGTTTTTTTTATCTCATTATTATGGATTATCACAAGTCATTATTATAGATTATAACTCGTAATAACGGATTCGACAACTCGTAATAACGGATTGACAACTCGTAATAACGGATTGACAACTCGTAATAACGGATTGGATAACTCGTAATAACGGATTGGACAACTGGTAATAACGGATTGGATAACTCGTAATAACGGATTCGACAACTTGTAATAACGGATTGAACAACTCGTAATTACGGATTGAACAATTCGTATTAACGGATTGAACAACTCGTAATAACGGATTGGACAACTCGTAATTACTAATTACTAATTACGAGTTGAAAAGCCATCTATTATCTATATGTTTTTTTATATCATAATTATTGATTAACTCAACTCACAAGTCGATATTATGAATTAGAAGAAGCCAGTGCAGCCTAGCTGTGGCAGTTAAATACTTTAATCGTGCGAGACAGTGACTTATTTAGTAATTTCGTTACTTCTCAGTCATTGTAAATGTTCATTTGGAAATTGGAACTATTTATTAAAAGGTATGTTCATACTTCATAGTCATTATTTGCTTTATAATATTATAAACTATATGTCGTAATTATCTGATTTAATGATTTATAGGTATCCATAATACATACCTATTGAATTAAAACACATTTTTTACCATGGATTTAAACAAAACTATAAAGAAATATTTTGATATGGGACTCAATTATTCAGAAATCATAGAATTTTTACATAAAAATGACAATATTTCTATGAGCTTACGCACCTTGAAGAGAATATTAAAAAGCTTATCACTTGCTCGGCGAAAAAATTTTTCATCTATTGCCACTGTTGCTGATTTTTTGTCATCACAAGTCCAAGGTTCATCTCAACTCCATGGCTACAAATGGATGCATTTAAAGTGCATTCAGAATGGTTTTACTGTTAAGCAAGAAACGGTTAGATATTTATTGAATGACTTAGATCCTGAAGGTGTAGCTATTCGAAAAAGAAAAAGATTAAGAAGGCGGCAATATCATAATAAAGGTCCTAATTACCTATGGCACACTGATTGTTATGATAAATTAAAACCCTATGGAATTCCTATTAGTGGATGCATTGATGGATTTTCTCGTTATATTTTATGGCTAGAAGCGGCACCAACTTGTAATGACCCTAGAGTTATTGGTGGATTTTTTTTGAATGCTGTTAGTACTCTTAAAGGTTGTCCTACTTCATTGAGAACTGATGCGGGTACAGAAAACCGACATATTGAACAAATACAGACATTTTTCCATAGGAATAATCATTCAAATAATCGACCATTTTTATATGGAACTAGCCCAGCTAACCAAAGAATTGAAGCTTGGTGGGGTCACCTTCGAAAACACTGCAGTCAATTTTGGATGAATACATTTCAGTTACTTAAAGATGATGGATATTTCAGCGGATCATTTGTTGATAAAAATCTCATTAGATTTTGTTTTATTGATTTAATTCGAGTATGTTTAGTGTCATAATTCATAACTTATGTTTTGTATTAAATAAATTCAAATTTTTGTTTTAGAGTGAACTGAATAACATAAAGGAAGAATGGAACAGTCATAAAATTCGAAGCACTAAGAATGCAATTGCACCATCTGGTCGTCCAACTAGCATGTTTAATTTACCTCATTTGTGGAACTCTGAATCATATCTGTTTGATGTACAGGACGAAGACATATCAGTGTGTAAAGACGAATGCGTATTTGTTTCTCAATTAATATGTGATGAAACCATTTTTCAGTTATGTCATATTTTAATTGAAGAAAATAATTTAGTTGTAACAAATGCTCATGATGCCTATGATGCTGTAAATTTATATATTGAGTTAAAAATATTATTTGATAAACTGCTTGAAAATACAATTTAATATGATGAAACAAATCTTAATAATAATTTTATTTTTACTTTTAGTAGTAGTTAAATTTAGTAATTTACAATTAGACTAAGCAATTATCTTATAAACAAACGTTTATTAAACACCCAAAGATAGTGGCACCAAACCATTTTTAAATCACTGGAATAAACAATTTTTTTGGGTTTCAGACTTTATGACTTCATGTATACTATTTTGCTATTTACACTATATAATACTTATAATATGTCAAGCACTAAGCAGTCACCCACCTACCTACCCACCACCTAAAAAAGTTCTGGGGTAATTAACCCAGTATCCATGTAATGGAATCTTAGTTCTTACACATACACATCATAAGCTCCAGGATGGCTATAATGTAATCAAAGATCAAACATGTACTGACTAACTCACTGATTCACTTGCTAGGAATCAGTACAATCATATACATTATATAATTAATTAATAATCAATAATTATGGAAAGTATATAAACTTTTAGTGGTGGCACTTATGCGAGGTATACATTTTTAAATTAGTTATTATTAATTATACAGTTAATAAACCAGAAGGGATGGTTGAGAAGGTCTGGGTTAAATATTTTATTTCTGCTACATAACTTATGTATACTTGATCCCACTGCTAAAAAGATGTGAAATTGTCAAATTAAAAAATACCTTTTATAATAGGTATATTGTTTATTTTTTAAAATGTATTGAACATTTAGAGTATAGTATAGCATACTACAATATCAGAATATAGAGTTTGCATTTTTAACTGGCAACCGAGTGCAAGGGATCAGTGGCGTATTTAGGAATTTGTCATGGAAAAGGTCCAGATAATTTTCAGAAAACAGAACCGAGAAGGGAAAAGCCTCCCACACCACCCAATTGCTCTTTATTATATAAATATACCACATTTAAAAGACTATTTAATTATTAAATAATAAATAATATGTACAAAACAAAATTAAAAAGAGCGGGGAAGTGGATGTCGCTCTGTATTAAACTTGAATTCAATGATATAATCTCATTGTATAAGAAAAACGACTGAGCGGAGACGGTTTGTCAGTCTGAATATTTTATAATGTTATTATTTATTATGGCCTGCAAGTTGAATTAATATTGAAATATATATATTTTTTTTTATTCGTTTCTATGGTGATAAACAAAGCGATAGAAATTGAAATCCCATTTTTAGCAGTTTTATGTAATTTGTTGGTGGTTTTTCCCTTGGCATTAAATATCTATTGAAAAAATCAAAAAATGGCCTCTCTAAAATACTATTTTGATCCAATTTGTTAAAATATAAGATACTACAAATTGAAATCGAAGCACTCTTTCTGGTAAAAATGTTGTATACAGGAAAAAATAATAATAATAATAAAAACACCATTGTAAAACCAGTAGCTTCATCGCTCTGCTCAGAATCTAATATAGTTATGTTATAACTTGTAATTTTTAAAAAAAATATTTCCTAAAATACATTATTTCATTCATTGTTGATCTTAGATAACTTTTCAACCTTTTTAAAGTTGAAAAAGATCTCTCTGGAGTGGCTATAAATACTGGCAATGTACAAATCGATAAAATATTTTAATTAAAATATTAACTCTGTATTTTTCAACCATTTTCAGTACCAAACTTTTAACAAAAAAAAATCACGATATTAATTGAAAATGTTGATAAATGAAGCTTCAAACATTTTTTACAAAATCCTTCGTATCGTATATTAAAATTTGTTTTTCTTAATCATGTAAATACACAACAATTAACATGTACGAGGCACGAGTCAGTGGGGGGTCCGGACCCTCTTGACCTCCCCCCCATCCCCTCCCGTAAATACGGCACTGCAAGAGGTCAGCTATAATATTACATTAATAAAACTATTAAAATTACAAGATGTAATACATTTTCAGTCTGAGTCAATTTATTTTTAAAGATTTATACTTAACATAACAATTTTTTAGGCTAGATACAACATATATTTTTCAGTCTTCTCGGGTGAATTTAACAAAAAAAAAAAAAAAAAAAAACAGTGAATAAAAATGCAATATATAAAAATAAGAAATAACTTAAATAAAAACCTACAGGATATCCATTACCCAAATATTTGATGCCAGTATGCAGTTAAGCTCTTTCCGAAAATCCGCAAAGTATTCATACTTGGAGGGAAGCTCTAAAACGCCTGAACAAGTATGAGCTACAGGAGCACGAGCCAAGCCAACAACGTTTGTGAATTCTACTTTAATATGATTGTGTGTTATAACGTCGGCTCCAGTTGAAAATCTTAAAAACTTAAGGCGAATCTCATTTGTTGTTTCTTTGATAAACCTTAAAAAGATAAAATATAATGATTAAATGTATATAAATAGCAAATCCAAATTTAAAAATGATTTTGCGTTAATGCAATAACCTACTTTTTGAGAAATCCAAATGTCTTGATTTCATCAGTATTGGTTTCGTGGCATAATAAAATGTTGAGGATATTTTTTGCGGTAGGCTCCATTGATTTATATAATGTAAGTAGATTTTCTTCACTTATAAGTGTGTTCATCCTAACTTCTTTGAGCTCTTTACGGAATTGTTCAATGATGAAATGCGGTTTTTGTATTAACTCCTTATGAGATATTTCTTCCAAAAGTTCAACAAGATTGTATTCATTGGGCACTGTTCTGCATTCAAGAGAGCTAAATGCCTCCAACAAGTCATCCTTGTCTACAGATGCAAAATCTTTCAGCGCGGAGTTCAATATTTGGTTGTCACTTTCACCAAGAGATAGCAAAAATGTTGGAATCAATTTTGAAGTTACATGACCATATAGCATTTGTTCAATGATGGGCATAGCTAGTTTAATAGGTAAGTAGTTAGAGTTAACCCAACCAACATACAATATTTTAGCCATTGACTTCCACTCTTCCTCTTTAAAGTCATGTCTTATACATGGAATTTTGACATTTGTACCAACTGTGCATGTTTCATACATAGTGGTCCAAAATTCCGAAAGAGTATCCCGGAAAACACCACCTGCATCCAAGCCTTTTTCAGACTCACCATTTGGAAGAATAAGTTCAACCATTAAGTTTGAACATTTTTGTTTATTAATACTCTTAAATGCTTCAATCATTTCTACAAAAACATTGCCGCGATGTAAAATGAGATGCATAGGCGGCATTGTATCAACCTCTCCATGTATAATGCTTGAACTAGTAGATGGAATGTCAGAATTATATTCAAGATCTATGTCTCTATAAAATTCTTGTATTATTTTACCTATGAATAAAATATTACATATTATGATATTCACTACAATTCTATCATTCTATTATAGTAGTGGTTTGGTACTTCAAAAAAGCATAAATTATAATTATAATAGTTATTTATTTATTCATTATAGTTAAAATCATAAGAATATAAGTACAAATATAAAAATTTTTTTTGTATGTTATGATTATTATTTATTAAGATGAAACTTGTGCTCGAATTGCAAAAATAATTGAATGGGATGCAATATTATGTTAAATAATATATTCTATTTACCAAACTATAGGCGTTTTTAAATTATAATATATTCTTTTCTAAAGGGAGCTAGTCCTCCAGACTTATGAATGTATATAGTATTTACTTTGATTCTTCATGATGTCATCTTCTAATAAATGAGAAGGCGATAAACCTAGTTCCACAATATCATACATGGTTGATGAATGTAAAGGTATGGTATTAATATCGCCATCACAATAGTCAAAATGTCGTGTAGTTAATTCATTATTATCAAAATCATCAGTTCCTAAATAATAAAATATTGTATAAATGTGATATATTTTAAATTAAGTAATCTATAAGAATAATATAAGTCACCTTTAATGATAGAATCATTAGCAACAGAAAATTCCAGAGTTGCATTTTTAGGTGGATCAGGGGTTAAAGGATTTATATGTTCAGAAGCTTCAGTATAATTTTTGGAATTCTGAATAAATGAACGGATACCACTTTTTCTGCGAGTAGCTAGATAATATCTCAGTTTAGGCAGACCTGAATAAATACATTACATAGGTACATAATTATAAAAACTTAGCAAGACAATTAAAAAATAATTACCAGTTTTTTCATATAATTCTATGACTGTTGAATCCTCTTCTATAGGTTTTCTTTTAAAATCAAACATTTCAACATCTAACTCTTCCCAATTACCAAAAACTGTCATATTATCTTCACTGAAAAATAATTCTTTTGATTTTTGAAGTAAATCAACAGGCTTTGCATACTTGGAACACTGAATATTTCTAATACCACCGCCAGATGGTTCTCTAACCTATGTAAATTAATAATATTTTTAAAAAAATTAGATGAAATAATTATAAATAAAATATGTATAGAGCCAACCTGTTTATATTTATTATCTTTCTTATCGAAATGGAGCCAACCAATTTGTATAGATCTGGTTGTTTTTAATGCATTACTCTTGAAAGTTCTGTAATGACATTTTGTTTTTTTTAACAATATCTAATTACTAGTTATGTTAGAGCCGTATAACTGTTGGCATAATGAAGCATTATTAAAGATGTAAAAAGTAAGAATAAACTAATAAATTATGACAATAATATTGAAGACTAGGAATGAATACAACTATCTTTATGTACTTAAATATAAATAAATACATAGGCAGTGGTGTGGTGACAAAATATCAGACCCTGGTGAAATTAAGAAAAAAACCACCCACCACCTACCTTAGCTAATTCAATATATCGTTAACTAAAACGAAAATGGTTTAACTAAATTAACTTACTTTACAAGTGGTTGATCAGTATCGTCAGAACTACACATTTCGCCAAATGATCTCCTATTTTCATTTTTTACATTGTTCATCAACTTGTCTAGTAAATTATTTTTTTTACTTTTTTTATACTGATTTTGTTTGGACCAGTTGATCAAGGCCATTCGATCACCATATCCTGGTAACCAATCACGTAATTTATAATCATCTTCTTTTAAGACTGATATAACTGCTAAATCAACC